TGTATGTGTGTATCAAATAATTTTGCTTTGCTCATTTGTGACATATAAGATGTAAATGGGGGGAAAAAGATGTAAATGGGGAACCACAGGGAAGAAGTAGGCTAACTGTTGTTTCAGGGAAGGAACTGTAATCATTGAGATGAAACAAAGTGTATGATTCGTTGAATGTAAAGCTGATAATTTTGTCTATAAATCTTCACAATAAAAAGTTAAAAAAATCATCTAAACTATAGCACTGTGATTTACAAATATGTAACATTCATGTGATTAAATTGGTTATGATTTGATTAACAGTTAATCAATTATAGTTGTTTTTGTTCCAACACATAGCGACCCTGTATAGGGTTTCTGAGAAGCAGGTGGTGGATATGAACCACTGATCTTGTGGTTAGCAGTCTAGTGCTTACCCTATAGCACCATACAAGAACGCCAATCATATATAGCAGTAGCTCCTGTAAATCAATCTTTGTATGTTAAAAAAATTCTTAAAAAGAACGGTCTGTATTTTTTTCTACAGATTACATGTTAGTATTTCTAACTTCCAATTAATTATATCTGATTTTCCATTTTCAAGCTTGTATTTGAGAAGAAGTTTCATAAGTTTACTTTATAATCATAATGAGAATTTCATGTGGAATAAAACATTTACAGAAAATAGAACAAAGAACATGCAGAACTCACCTTGGAAATACTGTCCATATCTCCTGAGCCTGAAACAAAGTATAAAAAGAAAACCTGTATTATGTAACAATTTCATTTATAAATGAAGTGCTCCTTTAATTTAAATAAATGTAGTACTTTGATTTTACAGTGTACCATCTCCTAAGTTTTGAAAGCTAAAAAAAAAAAAAAAATCCTTTCTCCGGTTGTCATTATTGTTAAGTTCCAACTCATTGTTGTTAAGTGCCACCAAGTTGGTTCCAACTCATGGCGACCCTGCATATATTTGTAGGAGCAGAAAACTTCATCCTTTCTCCTTCCAAGTGGTGGTTGCTATGTGGTTCACAGTCCGGTGCTTATCCTACAAAGTGTTCTCCTTCTCTTGTATTGAACGGTAACTCAGTAAGGTAAATACAAGGGATGGTTCTACCACTAGTTTACAATCACCTTTTTTTTTTTTTTTAAGTTTTTATTGTGAATTGAGTGAAAGTTTACAGGGCAGATCATCAGTTTTACATTCAACAAATCATATACTTTGTTTCATTACAATGATTATAATCCCCTCCATGTACTATCAGTTAATAGTATTTCTTTCTATTTACAATCACCTTTTTTTAAAGAAATAAAAATAATGGCAGAATGAAGAAAATTACTATTATCCTAGATTTCTGAAAGGAAAATATTAACTAGAAGGACCATTTATATTAGTCAGTTCAAAAATTTAAATGCACATACAATACACTGATTGTTGCTGGTAGGTGTTGTGGAGCTGATTTCTACTCACAGTGACCCCATGTGACACAGCAGAACTGCTCCATGGAACTTTCTAGATCATAATCTTAACAGGAGCAGATTGTCAGGCTTTTGTCCCACTGAGTCACTGGGTGGGTTTGAACTCGTATCCTTTCAGTTAGCAGCTGAGGCCTTAACGATTGCACCATCAGGGTTCTCAGAATATATCAATAGATTACTAAATACATTTTCTAAAAATGATGCTTCTGTAAATCTGCTAATATATAAAATGAAGAACCGTAGCCTCTACAACCCTACACTGCTGACTGCTCTGATCAAGATCACAACAGAAGACCCTGGACAGAGTGGGAGGAAAATAAATATAGAACAAAATTCAAAATCATAAAACAAACATACAAGCAAAACAACTTGCTGGTCTGATCGAGACTGGTGGAACCCAAGACTATGGCCCTTATACACCCCTCAAACCTGGAACTGAACGCCCCCCGCCACCACATACACACAGGGGATCAATTTTCAGCCAAATGATGAATAGGATTATAATGTGAACAAAAACATCAGAGAGAATTCTGAAAACAATCAACCATTTGAGACTAAGAGGGCAATATTTGCTCAAAAAATCAAAGCTCAGAAGGCACAAAAGGGTAGGAGAGGACTAATGGAAATGTGGGAACACAGGGAGGAAGTGGGTAGAATGCTGTTACTTTTAGGGAATTGCACCCAATGACATGAAACAAAATGTATATCAATTGTTGAGTGGGAAAAGAATTCGATCTGTAAACTCTCACCCAAACCAAAATAAAATGTTTTGTTGTTGTTTTTCAAATGGACATTTCCAATAATACTTGACACCATTTTGAATCTATTTTGCTATGATAACTAACAGCAAAATATTCTTAATAAGATTAACAGTCTGACTGCAATCAATAAATACTTAGGGTAATCTATCCATAATCAAGCATGCCTTCAAAATATACTATATAATTTTTGAGTCTTGGAAAAAATGAGTAATCAATCTTAATTTCTTTTTCTATGTGAGAAATGGTATCACACAAAGAAAAATGATCAGATCTTCACTATAATATTAGCTTTTTTTTTTTTTTTAATGTTTTATTGTGAATGATGTGATACTTTACATGGGAGAACATTAGCTTTACATTCATCCTATCGTATATCATTTCATTGCCATGGTTACAATCCCCTCCATGCATCATCAACCAACCAAATGGGACACCTGCAAGCCTGCCCCCTGGTCATCGGCACACAGCCCCTCTCCCTCTCTGGGTCTAGAGTCCCCAAGCACTCCATCTCTCCATGTCATCATCTCTGCCTCCATCTCTGGCGTCACTGCTTCTCTGGGTAGGATCCTGCACTCTGGTCTTCTCCCTTGATGGTCCCAGGGTCCTCCACTCCTGGACTGCAAAGTCAACCACTCCCCTCCTTTTGCTACAAAACGTCTGCCTTTACATTTCCATCCCTCAGAGGCAGTCCTGAAACAATTATTCACTATTGTATTATAAGAGACCTATCCACATCTCCTTTCATTAGCCCCGCCCAGACAGATTGGATACTAGTCAGTGGAGATTCTACGTTTCTCGGTGCCCTCTGGATCTAGGCTCCCTCTTGAAAGCGTGTAAGCCAGTCACTTTTTGCCTTTGTAGCCCCCACCCCCATTTTGGGTAGCCAATATCCAAGTTGCCCATCCCTGTCTACTCTGTGTATTAAGGGGGTGCGAATGATCCTTGCTGTAAAGATCTGTCCCCTCTTTTGAGCTACTGCACCCATAGGTGTAGGTCAAGTTCATCAAATTGTATCAGATTACTCTTTTTTTCCTCTTCTTTCATCTTCTAGTTAAGCTCTGATCATTCATCATCGAAGCCAGGTCAAGTGGGTATTATCTGCAAGTGTGGGTGTTCTTGTGCACATGTCCTCTCGTCTTATCAGCTGGACGCTTCACTCTCCACTCTAGTCCTCTGTGACTATGTCTCTGACTCTGGGCCCAGGAGTCCCCAGGTCTTGTCAAACTGCTGGCCAACCAGGTCTCCACTTGAGTTCATAGGAGTCTATTGAACATGGTTGCACTTTTAGCTCACAGCTTCATTGATGTTTTTTCCTTACTTCCCCTTATCAGTGACCATTAGCTTTATTTTAAAGATTTTATTTTTACTGTTTACCTGATATAAAAATACTTTATTTTAGCAGCACAGTATTCAGTCATTAGAAACAAAGTTAGAGTTTATTAGTATAATTAATTTATAGTACTATAAATTAACATACTATATTGTTAAGTATAGTATGCCTGTTACATGTTACATATAGAATCACATACACATATAAATTTGTGCAGTAACATTCACTGTAGAAAGTAATGAGCCACATGCCAAGCATATGTGAAATTCTGTAGATTATAATGTACTGGATAAAGTAACTGAGAACTTTTAAACTATGACCAAACATTATGTTTTGCAAATAATTTTTTAAATAAAAAGATTAGAAAGTAATTATTTTATATTAAGTGAGAAAAACGAAGTTCTAGACCAGCATTGTCTGACAGAATTTTCCCTGATGTTGGAAATAATTCTCGATTAATACAATGGCAGTACTGGCTACACGTGACTATCATGTACTTGGAATGTGGCTACTGTGACTGAGGAACTGAATTTAAAATTTTATTTAATTTTAATTACTTTAAAATATAATAGTCACACATGGCCAGTGGTCATTATAATTGGACAAGACTAAGCAAAATTTAGAAAAAATAACTAAGGATCTTTAGTAGCACAAAAGTCTACGAATGTACTGCAAATCATTTAGCTATTTATTGATGCTAGACAGCTTTTCAAAGTATCAGAGAGAGGCAATTGCTAACCTCAGGTAGAGGAAGGCAATCTGTGCATAACCCTAAGTTATTCATGGGCAGCCTCTTAAATCCTGGTAAATTAGGAGCCATTTTTTAAAATGGAAAAAATACAAAACATGATCACAATCCCTACCTCCACTGTTAACTTTAAAATTAGTTCATCATAATGTTATTTAAATTTATTTTAAAAAGCAAACCAAACACATTGCCTTTAAATAAATTCTGACTCATAGTGGTCTTACAGAACAGAGTAAAACTCGCTTCATCGGATTCCCGAGGCTGTAATCTTTATAGAAGCAGATTGCCATAGCTTTCCTCCATAGAGTTATTGGTAGGTTCTAACAACTGACGTTTCCATTATTAACTGAACACTTAAAATATTACACCACCTAGAGTCTTTAAAATATATACAAACATAAAACAAATATATTCTTTTGGGTTTTGCATTCAACCTGCCTATATATACAGTGAATGATTTTACTGGTCTTCACTTACGTTAACCAATAGCCTAGAGCTTAAACTATCAGTGTGAAGTAAAAGTTGAACATTTAAAAATGAGATGCTGTATGTATGCATGTATATACATGTAACTATGCTTTTGTTTTGAATTTACTATTAAATATCAAATTTAATATCCTTACCTAAAGAGCCATTCATGTGATGGGACTCCATTCCTCCTAATCCACCCATTGGACCATCTGACCCAGGGCCCATTGGAAACTATGTGAAAAATGAAGAAAATGATTGTGACCACACTGAAAACAATCGTTTCTCTCAACGTTACAGGATTTATCTTTAACATTGTTAAAACATTTCCACACTTATTTTAATTTTCAATTAGGACATTTTCCCTAGACGTTTCCCCAGCCTTGTAGATTCTCTAACTGGTCGGATTCATCATTCTCATTGAATTTCATCTGTGCGTCAGTTTTCAGGCAAATCCTCATTTGTATCCAAAACTTTCTTCAAGTATCTTCCACTATTCGAAAGCCCATATATTCCAGTGCAAATGAGATAAGCATTTTCTTCTACGCTACTGACAAATCTAGCTTATTATGAACAAAAGACAGTTCTTAAGAAGCAGCTAAAGGTGCTGGCTTATTAATAAGGGCAGTTCAATATCATTATGCCAATAGTAACATTTTTTTTCTGAGCAGATAACCTATCTTTGTTCAAATGAATAAATAATTTCATCTTACAGGTTAGATACACTTAACGCCTTAGAGACAGCTGAGTATAACGAATTCTTCTTGGCAGTTTTAACTGAGCCAATTCAATGACAATCAGATATTCTACAGACGTTACACTAAAAATTTTTAAAAGCCATTCTTTTCTAATGAAATCTTAAATTAGATGCCTAGCATAAAACAGATGTGAATAGATGCTCTGTGGTAGACCTGGTGATGGAGAGCTGGTGTCTCTGGAATACTTCTGAGACTATCCAGAGACCAGTTTGAAAACAAGTTATCTATTGTTACCATCATTTACAGTGAAGACGGCCCACTGAAAACACTTGCTTTAAATAATTCCCGTGCCCAAAGCATCTCTTCCACGCCTTATGGTACAGTGTTGAGTGTGGTGTGTGCAATGCTGTGCTGGTGACTACTATTCCTACAGCCTTTTAGGGGGTGGAAGACTGCCCCCCGGAGCCAACCCTGCACACCATCGTCTCACTGTGAAGATAAGACGGTCTTCCATCACTGTAAGCAAACAAACCACAGACTCATAAATTTCCCCACAAGAATGAATGACAATTTTGTGGCCCCAAATCAAATATCTAGAAGTACTGAGTTCATTTTCAGCAAACAACTTGAAATGTGTATTCTTCAAATGGTAAATCCAAGAGATTAACTTTGAATCAACTGTTGTTACTCAGCTTTTATTAGAAGCACAGTTTAGGTCTGCGCTGTGCCAGTGAGTCCATTAGCTTGTGATCTCAATTGGTTTGGCTATTTATTCTGGCCTTCCAGGGTGTTTTAGAAGGACTAAGACTATGTGTAAGAATGCTTGATAAGTTTAGCATGTAAAACTGAAATGATGCCCACAGCAGGTATTGGATGAATGACATTTGAAACAGTGACATGTTTTTCTTCTACTTTTCTTGGATCTCTTCTCTTTGCATTAAATGAATGAAACATATTCGGATCATTATCAGTTTATTGTTGTTGTTGTCAGGTGCCATCGAGTCGGAACCGACTCATAGCGACCCCATGCACAGCAGAACGAAACAATGTCCGATCCTGGGCCAACCTCAC